TATAGTGCCTTAGTGCCCCAACCAGTGCCGATATACAGCCATATCGCACTGCTACAAGTGGGATATTGCATTTATACAACAGTTTGACGGCATAATTGTGTATATAAAAACAAAATTAAACATGGAGAGTCTTAAAAACCCTTTTGTATGAGGAACTACTTTCTTCCGCGTTGGATTCAAATCATAAGCTGACAGTTAAACAGCTGGGCAAGCATCTTTTAAACTTTAGATCTGTAGTGTCTACTTTTTGCTGGCTGTATGTGGGCGGAGTAATACACAAAGAGTAAAGAGGCTGTACGGGTGCTGATAATACTTAAATATATCACTGCTATCAGCCAATCAGATTCGAGAACCAGAGAGACTGTTGTGTGTATATATATATATATATATATATATATATATATATATATATATATATATATATATATATATATATATATATATATATATATATAGTGCATCCGGAAAGTATTAATATCGCTTTACTTTTTCCACATTTTTTATGTTACAAAATGGATTAAATGTATTTATTTCCTTAAAATTCAACACACAATACCCCATAATGAGAATGTGGAAAAAGATTTTTTTGAAGATGTTGCAAATATATTAAAAAGAAAAAAAAACCTGTAAAATCACATGTCCAGAAGTATTCACAACCTTTGCCGTGTTTGAGATCCATTCAGAGTATATAATGTAACAATGATATAATTTTAGCTGTTTCCTACTCAGAATTATGCTTTGAAACACCTGGAATCAAATTTCCATCTCTGAGCTTTATTTTTGGGCTTATAAAAAAAGTGTCAGATTTTTCCCTAGTAAATCTCACACTCTTGAGCTCGTGAAAATGTGCTGTTGCTCAGGAGTGATGACAAAGTCTGGATCTTTTCTCATTTTAACTCTCTCACACATGCATAAATCAGAGGGAACAGTGAAAAAATATCTTTCTTTTAACTCACTTTTTAAACTTTCTTTTTATTGTTAATAGCAAAAATTTAGACCAAAATTGTGTTTTAATTAATGGAAATGCTAATCTAAAGGTTAACAAATAGAAAGTACAAGAGCTTCTTTTTAAATTGTAAAATGTCCAATAAAATCCAATCATAATCTTCATCTTTGTTTAATAGGAAGCAAAAGACACGCTTGTTATGTTTTCATCTACCTGCATGCGTTTTTTTTTTAAGTATTGAATCAGAAATGAGTGACAGAATGCAAAATATTAAACAAGAGTCCTACAAAAAGAGTTGATGTGAATAATAGAAGATGGAAAATTCTAATATAGTGAACATCAAACTCACTAATTGACAAAACTTACTAATTGAAGTACTGTAATTAAAATCATTCACATTTGTTTCTTTTTCTATTTTTTTTGTTGCTAACTTTGAAAATATTCAATATTCTACCACTGTTTTCATGTGTGTCTCTTTAAATTCAAATGAGCTGCAGCCCTGCCCATTTTCTAAAAGAAGGCGGGGCATTACAACTTGTGTCTCTGCGATGCTTTCAAAACAAAACTCTCTATTGCACATTGACTTCGTTTACATGGACATCAGTAATCAAATTATTTGTTTAATCTAGTTAAGAGAATAATAAAATTAAGGTGTTTACATGAGTTGCTTTTTGAGTGTAACTTTCATGATCCTGTTTTACATGTTATAGCACATAATTCGATTAACGTCATTGCATCACCACGCTATCTGCATTTCCGAGTTTCATGCAGTTTTGGGTGTTTAATTTTTAATTTGTGGACTTTAACTGCAGTTTGGCACTTTCACTTTCATTCAGGAACATTTCATGCATGCCCTCTGTGACAAATGAGATATTGGATGCAACTATGAACTGCTGGAAGTGTCTATCTAGCAGTTAGTTGACTATCCTGTCGTAAAACGTGGTGAAAAGTCCTACATGGCGGTAATAGTTTGATTAAGATATTTACATGTCTGTTCTGCACTTCAATATGTCGCAACTTCAATAATGCGACTAAAATCAGCATACTCCACACGTCTTAATTCCATTTTCTCTTTAGTTCGATTATGACCTTAATCTGATTTTATTATTCAAAAATCGCTGTTTAAATGGCTAACTCTTAATCAAAGTATAAAATCGAATCATTGGTGTTCATGTAAACATAGTCATTGACGTTCTTCATTATTATAAAACTACTTTATCTGCAGCACAGACTCATTGGAAATATGTGCCCCGTCATACATTCCTGCGAAACATAAAATACGTTGCTCCAGATACATTTTGTTGTACGTTTCAGATGACAAATCCACTAGAGGGCGTTGTGTACACTTTTGCGAATCTAGAATATGTTAGGGTATGTTTTTTGTATGTTTCAGAAACTCAACCACAAACAGGCAGAGCTTCTTTGCTTTCCTAAACCCAATGAATTCCAAATGTAAAAGAAAAGTGCACTGCAATTTTACATTGCTTTCATCTCTCATGTGGAAGTGTAAAAAGGAACAAAGATTGTTGGTGTCATACTAATTATACTCATTATTAATTATTATTAGAGGTTCAAGCACATAGTGCTGAACCCTTATTGTATTTGTTAGAATTTTTATTAGTATTATTATTTTTTTTTTTAGCCGTAATGCGGAACGGGCAGACCAAACCATAAGGCCTAGAGACTTGAAACTTGGTCAGATGGTCCGTATGGTTAACCGGTTAAATACATCTATAAATGGTCTCAAAATGCATTACTATTTGTAGCCACTAGATGACAGCACAATACCACTTTTTCTTGGTTCAAAGTAATTGAATTTGCAAGAAAGATCATTCTGGATCACATCTTGACACGGTCTGAACACTGTTATTGCATTTAAAAACAATTTCAGTCCAAGCTTGTAACTTAATTTTTTTACACTATATGGTTTTCCAATCATGTCCATCCTCGATGTTTAAAAGGCCTCAATCAAACATTTTAATACCATGTTAGTCATTAAAACACAGACTTTCAATTGTCACCTACCATTTAGCCACTAGATGGCAGCACAAGACCACGTATCATTTGATCACCTCAGGTACTGATTATGTGCTTTATTCTATTTCACTTCTGTCAAATAGTGAGTGTAAGTGTGAATACCATTTCACATGTCATTTATTGCTGTACTTATAGCGGCAGCGGCAGTTTACCTCAGAACTTGGAACTCGGACCAGTCACTCAGCTTATATTTAAATAGTTATTAATTAGATTATAAACCTGTCCATTTCATTATTGTTTTTGGTGTCGCGTCTGGGGCAAACAAGCAAATCTTGTCACGCCACGTGTTATTGGGACACAATGTTACAGATGCCAAACACCCAGTCCCTGACATTCTTAATTCCGGTTTTTGATGTCAATTTATCAGTTACTCTACAGTTTCTGTACGTGGTTTTAATTTGCCAAAGACCACCCTAAATAAACCCTGCCTTAATCCTTTTATGTAATGTTTATTATAACTATTACACTATATAAATGACTATTGGGCGGCATGGGGGCTTAGTGGTTAGCACTGTTGCCTCACAAGGTTTCCTCTGCGTGGTTTGGTTTCTCCCACAGTCTAAAGACATGCCGTATAGGTAAACTGAATAAGCTAAATTGGCCGTAGTGTATGTGTGTGAATGGGTGTTTCCCAGTACTGGGTTGCAGCTGGAAGGGCATCCGCTTTGTAAAACATATGCTGGATTAGTTGGCAATTCATTCCGCTGTGGTATGAAATAAAGAGACTAACCCAAAGGAAAACGAATGAATAAATGAATGAATAAATATACCACTATAATATAACGGTCACACAGCACAGCATAAATAAAGCGTAAATCATCAAAACATTTAGATAAGATGAAGACGAGGTAGACAGATGCACTAACACAGAATCTGCAGCATATAAATGAAGTGTATGCTTGTTCATAAAGTCTGTATTTTCCCATCTTGTTTGTTTGCCTAGGCAAGAGGCTCAGCATAATAATCAAGCAATACAGAAGACAAAGAACAGCCAGTTCTGTGTCAGGTTTTTACGAGGCATTCATTCATTTGAATTCCAGCTATATGGTTGAAATATACAGACTGAAACTTCTAATTGATTTTTCTTTCCCCCTAAAAGACTTTTGATCCGCAGCGTGTGACGGAAGACGATAACAGACACTTTAATGGGAATAAATAATGGTTCTCCTGCGACGGCTCTGAAGTGCAACATTGTTGTTTTTATGCATACCACAACAATTCCAATAGAGCAAAAATATAGCCTAAAATATGCGCAAAAAATGTTGACAAATATGTGGATTACATACAGTTCAAACCGAGCATCAGAATGGGGAAGAATGGTGATTTAAGTAGCTTTCTAGGGTCAGAATTAGGCATCAACAACATGAAAGCATGGATCCATCCTGCCTTGTATCAACAGTTTAGACTTGTGGTGGTGGTGTAATGGTGTGGAGGATATTTTCTTGGCACACTATGAGCCCATTAGTACCAACTGAGCATCGTGTCAACGCCACAGCCTACCTGAGTATTGTTGCTGACCAAATTCATCCCTTTCTGACCACAGTGTATCCATCTTCTGACGGCTACTTCCAGCAGGAGAGCACACCATTTCATAAAGCGTGAATCATCTCAGACTGGTATATGACAATGAGTTCACTGTACTCAAATGGCCTCCACCGTCACCAGACCTCAATCTCAACACAGAAATGCCAACTGGCCAGCCAGTACTCGAACCAGCAACCTTCTTGTTGTGAGGCGACAGTGCTAAACACTCCCTTAAAACAATTAATATATTCTAGTAATATAAGTTTCAAGCATGCTTTGTTCCAACTCTAAATTCAAAATCCTTTAAGACTGAATAAATAATATGTTGATTTGTGTTTTTGTTATTTACACAAGCTGACATGAGAGTTGTTTGCTTAAACTCAAGGTTAATTCTTTCTCTGCAGCACCAAGCAACCTAAAATATTCCAGTCTGGTTTTGAGAAGAAGAAAAAAATCTTAGAAATTATTCCGGAATGATTCAGAAGTCAGGCAGTCTAACAAAATTCTTGGATTTATTTTCATTCCCCAAAAGTAGCTTTTTCCAAGGTCAATTATGAGACACTAAGACATGCCTCTTTTACAAACAATATAAACACATCAACATTTCAAATGTTTTTTAGCCATTGCTTTAAAAAAAAGTAACACAATTTGACCACAATTTGCTAAATTTACCAAATCTCAAATAAAGTCGGGACAATGCTGAGATTTTTATGATCACCGGCGATCTAGCAGTTGCAGATCACTGGAGAGCTACAATTTTCTACTGAAAAAAGCTACAGATCCCATCACGCACCTCACACACACACCAGTTTCAGTACTTTTATTGAGTGCACACACTTACAGCTGGAAGCTCATTATCGTTTAAACCTCTCAGTTTCACACACACTTTGCTCAGTATTGTTTCTTTGTGTTCTCATGTTTGGCTTTGGATTCTTGGATTGTTTTTGGATTGTGATTTTCTTGGCCTGCCTGTCTCTTGGATTACTTATTTTTTTATTGCCTTTGCTATTAATGTTTTGTTCCTATTTTGTCCCCTGCATGCTAACTATTTTCTTAAAAATTAAGCTGTTTGTGAAACTCCACCTCTGTTGCCACACCTGCACCATTACAGAATATTGAGCCAAGCGTGTGTGAAATGGCGCGACCGAAATCGCATACTTCGCTAAAATCAGTATGCGAGCCTAGTATGTCTGAATTTTATAAAATTCGAAAATCAGTATGCGAGAAGAATCGGGATTACTTCTGTCGAGATTCTGGAGTGTGCATCCCATGCACCCCATGAGAGAATTCATAAATGGGAGTGAAGCAACGCAACTGATGCAGGTAGGTCACGTGACCATGACAAAATGTCGGATGTAGTACGTCTGAATTCCATTCATACGTTTTTATATTCATACTGTATAGAACGTACTTTCATAACGACCGAGTAGTACATTTAAATTGAAATGCAGTACCTACTGAGTTGTTGGCGATTTCAGATGCAGCGTAAGAGGTTTATGTAGCTCTGGAAATCAGTCTAAGATGAGCTTCCAGCTGTGTATGTGCAATCAAGTAGAGTACTAAAACTGGTGTGTGTATGAGGTGCATGATAGGATCCAGTGGTGAATTTAGGCATGGGCAATATGGGCGATCGCCCAGGGTGGCATTTTGCTAGGGGCGGCATGGAGGCACTACCACAACCCCACTCCCCATTCTTCACTATTGTCAGCTACAGAAAAGCCCCATCAAACCCCTATCAAACACAACCACCCAGCCCTGCTTTTTACTATCGTCCACAACACAACCACCCCCCTCAAAGCCCCCTCCCCTCTTCACTTTCGACACCTACCAAAGCCTCCCGCCCCAGTCTTCACTTTCATCTGCGATGACCACTTCAACCTCTAGCAACAACCGCCCTCCCTTTCACAGTATAGTCTGCGACCCTACACGACCCATCTCCGCTCTAACCCCTCTACGCCCCCACCCCCCGGTCTCAGTGTTCCGGACGGCATGATCGTCAATTGCCTAGAGCACCAGTTAGGCTTGCACCAGTCCTGATGGTATTTGTAGTTCTTTTCAGTGGCAGAATTGTAGTTCTCCATATATAACAATGTCGGTTGAATCAACAATGTGTATGTGGTTTTAATGTTGTTTCTCTAACACAAATGGCTGACTGTGAGCTCTTCTTTGAGTGGCTTGTAAAATTCCAGATGCTTCACAGTCTGCAAAACCAAAAAGAGAATTAATACACTGATTGTTAGCATCTCTATGGTCACTATAGTTTATCTGTTTTAATTATGGTGATAATTTTGCACTCACATTCTTTTCACATATTTCTTTCAGAGTCAGGACAGAGAAACTGAGGGTCACGCAGAACTGAAGGACTAGAAAGATGATCATAGCGATGTCCAGCAAAGCGCGGGTTATCTAGAGAAACGGAAGATCATAAAATCCATTACAAGTCTTAAATTCAGCTGAAAAACAAAAATCAACTGAACTGGAATTGTTTTCAGGGCATGGAATGATTGATGGAATGATGGAATGCTGGAATGATTAAGTGATGATTGATGGATTGATTAATTTATTGATTGATGATTAATTGATTGACGGAATGACGGATTGATAGATTGATTGAACAATGAAATGCTGGAATAATGGAATGTGTAATGGATTGATTGATTAATTAATTGAAAGAATGATGGATTGATTAACTATTAAATGAATGATTGGTTGATTGACTGATTGATTGATGGAATGACTGATGATTAATTATTGCTGAATTGATTGATTGATTGATGGAATAACGATGGATGGATTGATTGATTGATTGAATAATAATTGATTAATTGATTAATGATGTATTGATTAATAATATATTGATTGATTGATTGATTAATGATGTATTGATTGATTAAATGATGTATCGGTTATTTGATTGATTGATTGATTGATTGATTGATTGATTGATTGATTGATTGATTGATTGATTGATCGATTGATCGATCGATTGATTGATTGATTTATTGATAGAATATTGATTGATTCATGGAATGATAGATAGATAGATAGATAGATAGATAGATAGATAGATAGATAGATAGATAGATAGATAGATAGATAGATAGATAGATAGATAGATTGTAATAATTAAATAATGATTGATTTAATATTGATTGATTAATGATGTATTGATTGATTAAATTATGTATTGGTTATTTGATTGATTGATTGATTGATTTATTGATTGATTAATTGATGCATTGGTTGATTGATTTATTGATGGAATGATTGATTTAATCATGAAATAAGGATAGATAGATAGATAGATAGATAGATAGATAGATAGATAGATAGATAGATAGATAGATAGATAGATAGATAGATAGATAGATAGATAGATAGATAGATAATAATATAATTAAATAATGATTGATTTAATTATGATTGATTGATTGATTGATTGATTGATTGATTGATTGATTGATTGATTGATTGATTGATTGATTGATTGATTGATTGATGGAATGATGTATTGGTTATTTGATTTGATTTATTGATTGATTTATTGATTGATTGATTGATTGATTGATTGATTGATGGAATGATTGATTTATTCATGGAATAATGATAGATAGATAGATGGATGGATGGATGGACGGACAGACGGACGGACGGACGGACGGACGGACGGACGGACGGACGGACGGACGGACGGACGGACTGATTGATTGGTGGGTAGGTGGGTAGGTGGGTGGGTGGGTGGATGGATGGATGGATGGATGGATGGATAGATGGATGGGTGGATGGATAGATGGATGGATTGATTGATTGATTGATTGAATAGTAAAATGGTTGATGGATGAATGGATGGATGGATAGATGGACGGATTGATTGATTGATTGATTGATTGATTGATTGATTGATTGATTGATTGAGGGAATAATGATGTATTGATTGATTGATGGAATGATGCATTGGTTATTTGATTAATCGATTGATTGATTAACTTTTTGACTGATTGATTGATTGACTGACTGTTTGATTGATTGATTGATTGATTGATTGATTGATTGATTGATTGATTGATTGATTGATTGATTGATTGATTGACGGACTGATTGACGGACTGATTGATTGATTGAGCAGGATAAAACAAGACACTGCTTAAATAAACAATTCCTCTATGTTTTCAATTTCTAATACAGAGAGGTCTTGTTTTGAACTTTTATTAGTTTTTGCAGATCAATGTAGCAAAACTTTTCACACAAGCTTGCAGTTTCATTACATGCATTCGCATAGAAGTCAACAGGACAAAGGTCTAGTTTAACCATGGCTCAAAGGCAACAAGGTGTTAGTCATAACATGTTAGTTTTGAAAGCAATCTTTGTGCAATATTTTTTCCCCTCTCTATATTTCCCTACTGTTAAACCAGCATGAATAATATATTTTAAGGGGGGCACAAAACTAAAGAAAATTAGCAACAATACCCAATTATTATTGGTAGTGTCAGATGCCATATCACTTGCAGAAAATGCAAGACCCATCATAGCAAGCAAAGCACTGACTGTGTTCAGCACCGCAGCAGTGAGCAGCTGTAATACACAAAACACAATGAGAAAAAAAAAAAACTCACCAAACCAGAAATGTCTGAATGTAAAGTACAGTTTATGACTGTTCAGGACTTACCAGAAAATCACTTGGAAATCGAACAGCAACGACAGTCACTATTCCAACCATGAGGAACTAAATGCAAAAGAATGCTTAAAGGATTAGTTCACCCAAACATGACAATGATGTCATTAATTTTTGCACTCATGTTGCTCAAGTACCCTGAGAATTTATTCAGAATATAAATGAAAATATTTTTGATGACATTCGAAAGCTCCATAGACGGCAATGGTGATGTCCAGAAAAGAAAACAAAAACATTGTCAAAACATTCCATATGACGTCAGTGGTTCAACTGTAATATTACGAAGCTCCAACAATAATTTTGTGCACCAAAGATCTGTAAAAACACATTTATTTGACTACGTTTGTCCTCTGTTCAGCCACATAAGTACCTCTTGTGTGTCTATTTATTGCAATACAATAAATAATAAAATAAAAAATGAGCACAATGTCTGCAAAAATAGATGTGCACAAAGACGACCTAATCAGGAAAGGAAAACATTGGTAAACAAGTTATTTTAATAGTAATTTTAGTGCACAGAAGTCTTCTTGGAGCTTCGTATGATTATAGTTCTGCAGCACTGAAATCAGATTAAATGTTTTGACAATGTTTTTGGTTCCTTTTCTTAACTTCTGGTTAGGACTGGGCCAATAAACAATATTATATTGAATCACGATAAAATTAAACTCAGCAGAAATTTACAACGATGGTAATCTTAAAGTGTGATATTAGAGATATACCGAATCATCAGCCACCGAAAATTTATCGGCCGAAAATATGTTACTCTATATATGTTTAATGGACTCACTACATTTTGTGGCTTCAGTCATTGTTTGGGTACTCTTTTAATTTCGGAAGCATTAACAACTTATATAAAAATATATATCATTGTTGTTTTATGGCAAATAGTTATGGAGAGCATTTTTGCCATAACGCCCTGCCCTACTTCTGGTACTGTTGCTGTCTATGAAGCTCTTGGATTTAATTTCAAATTTATTGAATTTAAGAAATATATATATTTCTTAATTTTTGTATTTGTATTTGTTTTTGTATTCTAAAGATGAACAAAAGTCTCAGGAGTTTAGAACGACATGAGAGTAAGTAATTAATAACAAAATTAATTATTTTGGGTGAACTAATAGAAATCTTGATCAAAACAAGTTTAGACAAAGTGAACAATAAAAAGTTTACATTTTTATTAAATCCAACCAACCTTCATTCAGAAAATATATATGAAATTTAAACATATAAATTGTCAGACTTTTAAATTAATTTGGATTAATTTTGAAACACCAGTAAAAACATAAAAAAAAGCTATGATACTTACCACACTACCAAGCCAAAATCTCAAAAACTGATTCCCGGTCCCCAGACTGAGGATTCCCACTATAACCTGCACAATCTGTGGAATAAGACGACAATGCCATTTTAACACCATCACTGTATTGTAACATCTTAATGATTACACTGAGAAATAGTTTCAAGTGTTTCCGAAACTTAATTCACTCATTTCTCAAAACCATTTTCTCCTGCTTTTGAGGAAAATCTTCAATTAACAATTTGCTAGTTCAAATAGTTCTTCCTAACAAAGTAGATTTTATATATAAACTAATCATGCAGTTAAAATTACTCAAATTAAATCCCATGCATCTTCTAAAAACTATTATTATTATTATTATTATTATTGTTATTATTATTATTAAACTATTATTATTATTAAACTATAATAATAATAATAATAATAATAATAATAATAATAATAATAATTATTATTATTATTATTATTATTATTATTATTATTATTATTATTATTATTATTAAACTATTAACACAAATAGTAACAGCCTAAGAGTAATCTATTTTATAAAGTATGTTAATAGTTGTTACTACACATTTTTCTTATTTTAATATACTGGGCTATTTGATACTTTTGTTAGTGCCTTTACAATAAATGATTTCACAGACTATAAATAGACTATGATGTAGTCTAAATGGACTATAAATAAATATGATGTTACAATTATTTTTATAAACCATCACTCTTTTATAAACCATCACACTTTGTAGCCACAGGCCACAAAAACAGCTACACTGTCCCCAGACACCAAAAGCGGCAGATTCTACATTATATAATAAGTACTGTGATGAGTAGTTTGAGCTGAAACTTTACAGACACATTGTGGGGTCTTAGCCTACATCTGGTAAAATAGGTGGCGTTAATGAATATTAAAATAAAAATATAATATATGAATAAAATAAGTACTTCAACACGTTATTTGAAATTTTAAACAGGAAATTTAATCAAATATTTTCAAAAGCTTGATATCCTATGACTATCACTGTCAGATTTGATGTGAAATCTTTCACTTGTGAGTGCCATAAATTTATAAATATAAGTAAATAAATGTAAAAAAAAAAAAAGGAGATTGGCACTTTCAAGGATAAAATTGGTTCAAAATCATATACAAAGCTTCTTTATTTGCAATAATGATTCCTTAAATCCTTGAACTCTTCATAGCGGAAACAAATTGTCACTATATTTAGAAGGGGAGAAAATGTTAAAGTCAAACTGATTCATTACATTAATATATTAAAATTCCTTTTCTGAATCCTTCATTTTAACACTTTTTAATTTTTGTTCTATCGTCTGTTTATTTGTCTGTCTTACCCCGAGTGCTGTATAGTTGTTCATCATCTTTGTTTTGCTGTTTTGTGATTCGGAGCACACAGGACTGTAACACAAAGTGCCCAGAATCTGGCACAGTATTGGCCATTTGCTTTTGGGGTTTGTGCTGATGGTGATCACTATTGTTCCGTCATCTTGACACACTGAGAGTGACATCCTGAAGCTGAACTTTCCCACAGGTGATATTGACCAGTCCTTGTGTGTTTACTGCTGGAAATGTTAAAATAACAATAATATTATTAAAGGTCCCATGAAATAATAACAAAAAAGTTAGATGTTAGTTTCAGTATGTGAGTTTTAAGGACATTCACATGTTGATGTGCTCCAAAACAGTGACAAAATTTGCATTTAGGAGATAGAAAAGCGATATAAACATGTAAAGCTTGTAGTTTGTCACTTCGGTCTAAATGCATCGATATTTACACTAGATATCGCATAGGGACCCTGAGCATGCGTCAATAGCGTCGCCACATTGGTACAGTGCTCCCAGGACAAACGTCATTCAACCGCACTAGTCAAAACAGTGTTATTACGTGAAGATGCGGGACTTTATCGCTGTCTACGGGTGTAGTAAAGAGCGAACAAAGAAAACAAAGCACAAAGGCAGAACATTTCATAGGTAATATTACGTTTTTTTCTGTTTTTGTATGTTCTGAACTTTTGTGCTAATCAGGTAACGTTATTGATGATAACAGTCACTTACTGCATTCACTATACGGCAAATTAGCTCCAACTCGCACTAAACACTCGGCTTATGCTACTTTTGTTAAATAAAATCAGCAAACAATGCAAAAGAAATATGACAACGAGATGCTGCGCTGCCAAAAACTTGTATTATTGTCGGCTAACGTTAGTGAAAGAGTCGTTGGGGGGATTTATTTACAAACGAATCGCTCCCTCCGTCAGTATGAGAAGTGAAAGCAGGAGAGGAGGTGTGTTTCAGGACATGATTAGATTAAATTTAACAGGGAGGGTGAATAGTACATTTCTGTACACACAAACACAAGCTTTTTGTCAGGAATGCCCGTGCGGTCACTGATCCATAAATGTAGAAAAGTGATGTAAAATTATACTTTTCGTAATTAGAAAAAAAAAATTACATACTAACATCCAGGAAAAATCCCGATCAAAGATATATGTGTTTTTCTCTGGCTTTGGATGGCCACAGTCCTCCACCGTACCTTGGTCCTTGGCATTTATTTTAAGGAGCGCAACCGTGTAGCAAGATGGCGGCGCTATTGACGCATTCCGTCCAATAAACAACAATAGGCCAGGCGACATCTAATGTATATGTCTATGGTCTAAATGGATCAACGTTTTTTCACATCACCTCATACTTTAGTTTCTCATCAAAGCTTGACCAATCAAATGCTCTCTAGTATCTGACAGGCCCCGCCCTCTTCAAGACGCTTCTCATTTGCTTTTCATTTGGTGTGCTAGAGCTCAAACACTCTGACCGGCAGAGCTGTGATAAAAACAAAACACTATGGGCTACTCTGGGGCTACTCTACATCCCACCCTCTCTTCAGTTGTCATCTTCAGTTGAAGATGTCCAGAGGCGATATGAATGTAGAGCTGCTTATTGCTCTGGTGAACAATAATCATTTCTTCATCGTTAGAGCTGGAGCTGCTGCTTACCATCCATAACAACAAACGTGTCATTTTTGTCTTGTTCTTCTGTGTTACAAGCAGGTGTCAAAAGATTTATATAGGAGTTGTGTAGCGCCATCTAACATCAAGGAGTGATTTTGCATACTCTTCTGCTCGACGCCAGTAAAAATCGATTTGGTTTGTAGGGTCCACCCAGTTGGTCCAATGACGGTGTCCACAGGTGGATGAAGGTTCACTGCATGTTCGGTCTTTCCAGTGCACAATGTTGATTTGTATTAAACTTAACTCATATCTGACTCCAATTTTAGTATGAGGTGGTTTAGAATATTAATATATTTATCCTCGTTTTATCTGACTCCAATTATAAAACATTGAAAAGATTATTTTGTTTCCTTTTCGTTATTATAGATTATGAATGAATATTCTCTTCGGTTCATCATTTTATGTTATTTATGTTATTTTTATGTTATTCTCATATTCATTGGGATTCCTATAACATCCTGAATCTTGTACCGGCCGAGTATACAATTTCTTAAGCACAAGCATGTCAGTCTTGGTCACTAAACAGTGGCGATTGACCGCTATCCTAAAAAGGCAGAACCCTACTTGCTCAGATTAGGATATTTTTTATGCGGTCCCCATAGATCTGCTACCTTCTAAATCAGACAGAGCTATTTAGTCATATAATGATCATTACTATAGAATTAAGCAGACCAGTAGTACTTAAACTATTAGTAACTTTGAATAATCACTATACTATCTAAATAGTATTATAAGTTTAACAGGTGAAGGACTATCCCCTTAGATATCCTTTTACAGTCTAAGTATACATGAATTAATGCCAATGTGTTAGTCGGAGCTCTAAAGACATCGTATAGCGTGCCGCAATGCTCCGTCTACCGTGTTCTAGTCCGCTACTAACCTGTACAGGGGCTTGTGGTGCTATGAAATTACCACAATCTACTAGAGATAATAACACGAACTCTATTTGAATAATTTAAAACATAACAATTTGTTAGTCAGGTAATATGTATTATGCCAATTCATTCAGTCAATTCATAAACGATCAATACTAGACATCAAGTTATCAAAGATAAATCCAAGATTAAATGATACAGTCTTGACTTCAAAATATACATAACATGGAGCGTATGCTCCATGTTACGGGCTGATCTGGGTAAGCAGAATCGCGCCGAACGTTTCTCAAACCTTACCTTAAGTAATCCAAGAATCCCCTCAAGGAAAGGGGTGTGTGCATAACAAAAGACATTTGCATTTAGTGCTGTCTGTGGGAAAGTCACACCCTTCACAGTGAATCAAAAGATGCCTGAAGTTATATATTTATTGTTTTGATTATGTCTATTTCTGAGAGAATGAGACCATTGTACCAGTCGCACTGAGACATTTCAAATGATATCAAACATGATAGATAAAGTCACTTGGGTTAATTTAGACATTGAAATGACCATATGTGTGAGGTGGGGTGGATGAAGTCGAGTTTCAGCAACTGGTTCTTTCCCGCATTCCCACCTGCTGGGTTGAGAAGCCAATCGTCTCTGTTTTTGGCTCATGTTTAAATTGTCAAAGACAAAGTATTTGTGATATTTTACGCCTTAAAGGTTTGAATCCGGAAAAATGTCTTTAAAAAAATGCTGACGATAAACGCTGACGATTAACGCAAACGAAAAGCGTCCCGGTGTGTACGAGCCTTTAGGTGTGATTTCATGCAAGTTTAACAAACTTATTTGACAAAAATTCTACAATTTTGTAAAACTGAAAAACATGACCTATTAGTTACAATAGACAGAGGGACAAATGTGTGCAGTTTCAATACAGCTAAACCTGATTGGTCTTATACAGGGTTACCAAACATTTATGAAAGTTCTCACAATGTTTATATTATCAGCATGTAACCTACAGTTTTAAGTTGTTTTTTATTTTTATTGTAATTTGAAAGTATAATACAAGTGAACATTCTGCAGTTACAATAAGTACGATTCCTGACATTAAAATCAGACTTTTCACCTGATTTCACCATGGCACAATTATTATTTTGACCAGCTTTACGAATCAAATGGATAAGAAGTTCTGAACTCACCTTTATGTCACTCAGCAAGTCCACGATCTTGCTCTCTTTCAAATGCAGAACTTGTTTTCTTTTACCTGTCATCGGGTGAGTAAGGTGGAGTCTAGAGAAATACTGGATGGAGCGGTTTGTAAATGAGACTACTGTTACAGTATCACGTTCACGGAAGAGAAAGAAGCCCAGACATATTTGACTGATAAACATCCCATAACATGAAGAGAGAATGTTGTTTTTCTAAACACACTGGTAAAGCAGAACAGGAAGGTCACGAGAATGAAAGTAAGGACAATTTTAAAAAAATAAAGATGATATTACATTGAATAATGTAGACTAATGCACTTAAAGAGAAAAAACAAGTAGAAGATATGAAAAAGAGTTTGCATTTGATAAAAGTTTGTAGTGAACACATCAACCTGAACAACCATAGATGTATAGACATGCATTTTGGGGGAAAAGGGCGACAACTGAGGGTGTATGTTGAGAAGAAAGTTGACAACTGGTGGTGTCTGTAGAATGGGTGTCACAAAATACAGAAGCTCTTAATGAACAGACATGTTTTACAGTGTATTATTCCCCTTTTTATAAGATGCTAAATGCATTTCGGGTGCCCACAGAATGCTTCTGTGAAGTTGTAGTTCGAAATATCTCACAGGTAATTTATTAAAGCTTGTCAAATCTGTCCCTGTTTGGACGTGAGCACAAATCTGCTGTTTATTTTTGTGTGTCCCTTTAAATGCAAATGAACTACTGCTTTTCAGAAGTGGGCAGAGCCTGTACAGGCTGATCTGACACTTTAGAAACAACAGCGCCCCCATAAACAAATTTAAGGAGTGTGGGTTTTGCCAGAACAGTTTTCTTTCTTCTTGCACATCTAAAAAAATGAAAGGTGAAAAATGGTTAATGGTCACAAATGTAATGGGAATCTAGTCCCTTTATGACATACTGTGCAGTTTATGTGCAAATGCAACAATATATATTGACCTTTAGAGTGTAAAGAGTGTGAATCTCTATGTAGTGGAAATCGTTGTCCTGTGCTAATAATTTGAATGTTTCACTAATGGAAATTTTGTAAAACATTCAAATTAATACCTAACAATAAAATAATGATAATAATAATAATAATAATAATAATAATAAAAAAAATAATAATAATTATAAATTAAATAACATTTAAATGTAATTAAATATACAAAAAAGATAAAATGTGCCTACTCTTTAAGTTGACATTTAAATATAGTTAAAATAATTATTAAACAAATATAAATTAATAGTATAAAAAAAAATATAAAAAAAAAAAAAATATATATATATATATATATATATATATATATATATATATATATATATATATATATATTTTTTTTTTAAACTTAAATTACTATAATTAAAATAAAAATAAAATAATTAAAATAAAATATTTTATTATTTATTATTTTATTCATAAAAATAAAATAAATAAAAGTAATACAATTTTACAAAATAAAATAACAAAAATTTAATACTATATAATTTTATTTTAGTTTTATTTATTTTAATTAATTTTATTAAAAACAATAAACAAAAAATAAAATTGTCTGTGCTGTGTAAACTGAATGAGTAGGCACATTTTTTCATATGTAATTTAAATTTATAAATTTTTATTAAAATAATAAAATTATTTTTGTGTGATGGTGTTTCCCAGTGATGGGTTGCAGTTGCAGGGGCATCCGCTGCGTAAAACGTATGCTGGATGGGTTGGTGGTTCATTCCGCTGTGGCGACACCAGATTGAAAGGGACTAAGCCTAAAAGAAAATGAATAAAGAATTGTTTTTGGTTTGTCAAATGAATTAGTAGGCACATTTCATGTTTTTTATATTTAATTTAATTTAATTTAATTTAATTTAATTTAATTTAATTTAATTTAATTTAATTTAATTTAGTTTTTAATTTAATTTTTTGTTTTATTTTATTTCATTTTATTAATAAGACTTTGGTGGTGTCAACATTTTATTTTATTAATATGGAATTCAAATGAATATATATATATATATATATATATATATATATATATATATATTTATATTTAATTAATAAATTATGTAAAATGAAAAAATAAAAAGGTTATAAAATTAAATTAAATTAAATAGATAAATAAATTTACTCATTTTGTTAACAAACCAAAAGACATTTTATTATTATTTATTATTAATAAAATACAATAAAATTAAATAATTATATTTAAATAGTAAATTAAATATAAAAAAAATTAAATGTACTTTCAGTTGACACACGGAAAACCATTTTATTATTTATTATTATTCATTTATTCATTTATTTATTAATAATTTTTTTTTCGCCATAGTCCCTTTATTAATCAGGGGTCGCCACAGCGGAATGAACCGTCAACTTATCCGGCATATGTTTTATGCAGTGGATACCCTTCCAGCTGTAAAACCATCACTGGGAAGCATCCATACACACTCACCTATAGCACATGTTTTTGGAAACCCACGCTAACTGACCCAGCCGGGGCTCGAACCAGCGACTTTCTTACTGTGAGGTGATTGTGCTGCCCACTGTGGCACCATGCTGCCCTAATTATTATTAATAAACTAAAATAAAATTTAATTAAATTTTTATATATATATAAAAACATAAAATGTGCCTACTCATTAAGTTGACACACCAAAAAACATTTTATTATTTATTATTTTATTATATTTTAATAATAAAATTAAACATCATAAATTAAATGAAAAAAAAGGAAAAAAAAAATATTTTAATAAAAGATAAATCAATATAAATAAGAACATCAAATGTGCCTACGCAATTAGTTAACACACCATAAACCAGCATATCCAGAGCCACAAGAATCAAGACAGGTGATTTATTGAGCCATGTTCTGTTCGTGAATCAGTAAGTCAAAGACGAAAGATAACAACATTTAGAATGTGAAAAAAAATAAGCACTTGAATTGCTCTTTATGTAACACAAAATAGCATGTAATAAAAAAAAATCAGAGTTTTTGCAACAGATAGCAATTAGTGTTTCACAAAACTTGTGCACATCAGCCTGGCATTTAAGTGTTATTTAGTTCCTCTTTTGCTCAGCGGTTATGATGAAGCATGCCTTTCTTGTGACATTCAGAGCCGGCTTGAAGAATTGCGTTGTCATTTTAGTGGAACAAACACCCCAAACAGATTTGGCCTTACATAATAAGCCCGGAGAGCAGACTTGACATCATTTCCCCCACTCTGTGAATGCAGGGAGCATTAGCTATGGCCCCGAGTATCTCTATTTATTGCGTGTTACAGTTGAGGGTAATGGGATTTGACAGATTATGTGAGAAGTTATAAACTTTGTGTATGGGTCTCTGACACTCGTTTTTGGGCATTTTGATTTCAGCGGGGATCTAATTGTTCTGTGTGAGAGAAGCCTGTAGAGACACCATTTCCTCCTAACCTTGATAGACAGATCTGTGTGGGCCATATAGATTTTATTGAGAATGACAGATATCTTTTGAGCTTTTGTGCTCTTGAGTTTTATATATTCAACAGTGATCAATTCTTTGCTAATACTTAAATAATGATTAAAATAAAATAAATGTAATTTATTTTAAACATAAACGTGACTACGCTGCTTGTCTCTCCATCAGTTTTTCTAGCTAATGGTGGGAAAATTGATCATTTAATAAATTCATTTATTTTCCTTCAGCTTAGTGCCTTATTTATAAGGGGTTGCCACAGCAGAATGAACCACTAACTATTCCAGCATATGTTTTAGACAGCAAATGCCCTTCATAGTATTTAGTACTAACATAGTAAATTTAAACAATGTCAGTCCAGTTTCCAGACTTAAAATTCAGTTCAGTTCAGTGTGGTTTAATTTTCAGTGCTGAAAGTTCAAACACTAAAGAGCAAATCTAACGATGCACAGCAACAGTGGCGACAGTAGTGTTGAACAAACTTTGTACTTTTGATTTGATGAAGTGAAGAAAAAAAAAAAACTAGAGAGAAAACAGGCTCAGTTGGGCATGGCTATTTTCCTCTGGCCAAACTTCTGGCTGTAGAACACTGGACGTCCATCGTGGAGAAGCTGCAGGTGTGAGTATGTTACCGGCAAGTAATCAGGCTGGCCCACAAGATCAATGTTAAGACTTGTCTGTCACTGGGGTCTTTCAGGAATCAGTCTTATGCTTTCCTCTCTTCCATGACTACCACAGCATCAGCTCAGGATACGGCCTGGTCCAGGATTATGGAATTCTTGTAAAAAATATGTGTTTGTTAACAGTTTCCATATTTTGTGATTAACAAGTGTTTTCCATTTATTTACGGCTGTGAATTGCATCATGGGATGTTGATATTTGCTCAGTTGACTTTTGATGTTGAAAATTCAACTGTTTATTAAAAACTGACTTATTGACATTTTAGTAATTAATAATAATAATAATAATAAGATGATAATAATATTATTAATAATAATTATAATAATAATAATAATAATAATAATTATTATTATTATATTATTTTTATAATATTATTATATTATTATCATATTATATTATTATATTATTATCATATTATATTATTATTTTATAATATTATATAATAATAATAATAATAATAATAATAATTATTATTATTATTATTATTATTATTATTATATTTTTATAATATTAATATATTATTATCATATTATATTATTATTTCATAATATATAATAATAATAATTATTATATTATTTTTTATAATATTATTATATTATTATCATATTATATTATTATTTTATAATATATAATATTAATAATAATAATAATAATAATAATAATAATTATTATTATTATTATTATTATTATTATTATTATTATTATGTCTAAGAAATAATGTATAGAAAAATTAGTCTGTGAAATAACAGAAAATGTCCTGGCACTTTATCACGAGGTTTTTGTACCATAACACTCAGACAATATATCACTATATAAACAAATCAAATTGTTAATAAAAGTAACTAAGTAAATAAAAGTAAGAAAATCCCATAACGCAACTTAGAAGCATAAATAAATGGGGAAAAATAAAAACACAAATCACAAAATATGGAAAAACTGCTATGCTATGGATATTTCTTTACAGTGTATAGCC